CATCTTAGGAGCTGGAAGGGGGGCTCTCACTGTCAACAAGAAATAGGCAGGGGTGGAGCCTGTCTTTTGGACCCTGAAATATCCCTCTGCATTGAGCTGCCTCAGTCCCAGGAACAGAAGCCTGTGGCGGCAGAGGAGCAGCAGAACCAAGAGCCAGAGCACAGACCGCAGTGGGCAAGGAAAGCTGAGTGCAGTGCCTCCAGACAGTTCCCGGGAGCAGCTAGGACCCACAGAACTAGGACTGAATGCTTTCTGATTGAGGCTTACAGGAGTGGTGTCCACTTGAAGCACTTGCAGCAGCACTAGAGGAGCGGTATAACATTGCCTGAACAGGGCAGAGGCCAAGGACCAGAGAGAGGCCTTCCTGCAGGCCTGATAGAGAAGAGGCTACCTTGGCTGAAAGAACTGTGCGGTGAGCGTTTCTGAGCCTGAATTGTAACTATTAACTTCCCTACTAAGCCTTATAAATTGTGTGATCTGTGAGTTCTGCATGGCTTGTTGCAGTGAGTTACACCAAAAGAATGGTTGGTGACAGTATTGGCAAGGGAAGAAAGAGGGCGGAAGCATCCATAACCCCTTCATCCCCAGAATCAACCAGGGATTGATGACTTTCTCCTTTTCCCTTGTGTAGGCAGTCATACATGGCCCCACAATGAATTACTGTGGGTATGCCAGCCACTGCTGGGTAAGAAATAACCTGGGACAATAAGCATTTGTTTCTCCGGAGTTTGTGTAAAGCAGCCAAGGTCGCTGCGGTTGCCACTGTGGATAGGTGGGGTGGGGGTGGTTCTGTTTCCCACCCTGTTCATTGTCTTTTTGAGAACAAGCTGGCATAGTTGATTCTTATATGCAATGGCAGATGGCTAAAGGGAAAACCCAATTCCTGTAAGTACTTTTTAAGCCTTTTATCACATCATATCCTCATAACATTTCTTTGATCCAGAAAATATCACTGTTCCAAAGTATAAAGGTGATGTGTAGCTTGCTTGAAGAAAGGGGTGGGATCTGTGGGGACTAGTGGTACCTGGCCGAACAGCAATTAATGTAGATGAATAGTTTAAGTGCTGAAATTTTAGTTAAATATATATATATAACAGTAATTGTGATAGTGTATGTCATTGTCTTTAAGGAAAGAGAGAGACCATGTGCTACTTGATCTGTCCGTGGGAGTAGAGTCTGTATACACCATAGGGAGCGGGAAGGACACGTTCCCTCAGAAAGGTAGTGCTACTCTGTGAGGCAAACAGGCTTTCTTTGTACATAGCCTGGAGCTGGATACCCTGAGAGTTCAGTCCAAAGTGGCTGCAGACAGGAGCACAGAAACCAAGAGTGAGCATTCAGGGACTTTGATAGTAGTTTAACACTACCATAATAATTCAAGGGACTTTTTCTTGAATTTTATTAAAGCTTTGGTCCATGACAAGTATGTTAGTCCAGGTTGACTAGAGAAACAAATTTCATAGACACTCATGTGTATAAGAAAGAACTTTCTGTGAAAGAGCAATTGTATATTGAGAAAACATCCCAGCCCACTCCAGATCAAGTCCTTAAGTCCAATTATTAGCCCATATGTCCGATACCAATCTATAAATTTCCCTTCGGACTCACGCAAAACATGTAATGAAACTGAACCCAGCAAGATCACAGGCCAGTGGGTGGAAAGTCTTGTGGATCCAGTGGTGATAGAAGCATCTCAGCACTGGCGTGGGTCTCCACATGGCTCCTCCAGCTCCAGGGCTCTGGCTCCACCAGCATAGCTCCATGTGCCTTGTCAGCAGGAAGTCAAACAGAGAGAGTGGCTGCCCTCCAGTGAGCTATATCGCCGAGCCTCCAAATGAGGTCACCAACCTCCGACGTTTAAATATACATGTCACCTTTCATTCTTTATCTTTCTTTTTAACCTCGTCCTGTATCCTAGCTAGGAAGATTATAACACACCCTTTTAAATAGCCGCCTTTTCTCTCATTTTCCCTGCTTCCGCCCCAAGCCCATCTATCAGCTTGGCTCTCCTACCAGGTGGCCTCACCCCCTGCACTCCGTGCCAGCACCTGGTACAGAACTGTAGACCGTACCAGTGCTCCGCTGACTACACGAGGTCTCCTGGGCCTGGCTCACTACAAAATCATGAAAACTATTCCAGAACTTTCCACATCCCCCTCTTAGTTAGCATTTACTCATGCCTTTGGGTCTCTTCTACATGCAGATTTCCTTGTGGTAGACTCAGTGTACCTTATAAAGCTCTTATTTTCATGTTTGGCAAAGTGCATTCATCTTAGGTTTACTGACACCAGCTTTGTAAACATCACTTTACCTTTGCCAGGGATCCAGCTTAAAGAATAGTGCCTTGTGCTCAGCCCAAAATTTGATGCACCAGCCTCCGCTCCTCCCCTTTTCTTAGAGGGTCCTTTTTTTTCTTAATCATTTTATTGGGGCCTCGTACAACACTTATCATAATCCATACATACCTCCATGTGTCAAGCACATCTGTACATCTGTTGCCATCATCATTCTCAAAACATTTGCTTTCTACTTGAGCCCTTGGTATCAGCTTCTCATTTTTCCCCTCCCTCCCCGTTCCCACCTCCCTCATAAACCCTTGATAATTTGTAAATTATTATTATTTTGTCATATCTTACCCAGCCCTACATCTCCCTTCACCCACTTCTCTGTTGTCTGTCCACCAGAGAAGAGGCCATATGTAGATCCTTGTAATCAGTTCCCCCTTTCTACCACACCTTCGCTCCACCCTCCCGGTATTGCCATTCTTGCCACTGGTTCTGAGGGGTTTATCTATCTGTACCAATTGGGATCATGATAGTGAGAGGGGAGGAAGCATTTAAGAACTAGAGGAATGTTGTATGTTTCATCATTGCTATGCTGCACCCTGACTGGCTCATCTCCTCCCCATGACCCTTCTGCAAAGGGGATGTCTAGTTGCCCACAGATGGGCTTTGGGTCCCCAATCTGCACTCCCCCTCCTTCACAATGATAGGATTTTTTTTTTTTCCCTTGATGCCTGGTACCTGATCCCTTCGACACCTCATGATCACACAGTCTGGTGTTTTTCTTCCATGTGGGCTTTGTTGCTTCTCAGCTGATGGCCGTTTGTTTACCTTCAAACCTTTAAGATCCCAGACGCTATATCTTTTGATAGCCGGGCACCATTAGCGCTTTGCTGAAATCACTTCCTCAATTACCTGTGATGTTTCCCTGACAGAGTACCATAGCAGAAAAGGGGGTGAAGACTGGCTTTATGTACCTCCATATTGACTACTAGCAGCACTGTAGCACCTGTCCTGGGGATCCCCCTATTGTCTTCTCATCTTTTGTGCTGTCACAATCGCCTAAGGATTGGGATGACCCTGGAGTCCACTGCTGCCCTTTCTTTTGGCCACACCTCTGAAAGTTCTGAGCTTATCATAGAGCAGCCGGGGTAACCACAGCCTTTCTGCCTCTTCTTATCAGAATGGTTTAGTTTAGTTTATCGTAAACTCTGCTACAAAGAATTTCTTTCCGATGGTCACTATTTTCTCTTCCACAGATTTTACTTGTATTTTACCTCTATACATGGGAGCTTAAACCCAGAACAAAAAAATCATATCGATGTGAATGAGGGGGTGGGGGGGGCAGTCAGAGTGGAGACCCAAAGCCCATCAGTAGACAATTAGATAGACACAATATAAGTCACAAATAAGAGATGAGCCAGTCAAGGTGCAGTATGGCACCAGTGAAACACCTTTCCTCTAGTTATTTAATGCTTCCTCTCCTCCCACCCCCCCCAAATCATGATCCCAGTTCTACCTTACAAATCCTACTAGACCAGAGCTTGTACACTGGTACAGATAAGAGCTGGAAACACAGGGAATCCAGGGCAGATAAACCCCTCAGGACCAATAATGAGAGTAGTGATACCAGGAGGGTAAGGGAAGGTGGGAGGAGAAAGGGGGAACCGATCACAGTGATCTACATATAATACACATACCCCCAGGGGGATGAACAACAGAAAAGTGGGTGAAGGGAGACAGCAGTTGGTATAAGACAGGGAAAAAAATTCACGTTATCAAGGGTTCATGAGGGAGGGGCGGTGGGGAACGGGGACGGGGAGGAGCTGATAGCAAGGGCTCAAATAAAAAGAGAATGTTTCAAAGACAATGATGGCAACATATGTGCAAATGTGCTGGCCACGATGAATGTATGGATTGTGATAAGAGCTGTAAGAGCCCCCAATAAAATGTTGTTTTTTTTTAAGTTTGTGGGGAAATTCCATCACCTTTTAATTCTGTTTTTCCGAGAACTTTTTTAAGCTCCCTTATATAATGAAATAACTTCCCAAAGGAAAATAGCTGGCTCTCCTTAGTTCCTCCTCCCCTGCTCTGTACTCTTACCGTGGCTCTGTGTCTGTCCCCAAGATCCCGGTTCGTTTGTAAACCACTTATTTCTTCCAGTGTGCCAGAACTAAGACTCAAATTAGTATAACACATCAATCTTTTGTCTGTGTTCTGAGAGGTTAGACTGTCGACAGTGCAGGATGTTCTATTTTTACTGGGAGGACACTTTTAGCCACTTTCTTCAGAGGTGGCTTCCCGTTCTCTCACAACTGTGCTCTCGACAGTCCGGGCTCACCCATCTTCTTCCTCAGGCTGGCCACTTCCCACTGCTTCCCACGTTTCTTCTTTCCTCGTCGGGACAATGCTTTCTACTAGTATAGCTTGCTCGAGTGTTTGAATTTGCACATAGATGTTGCTTTTTCTTGAACTCAGGACTCCCTGCATTTTTCTACAGCTCCGTTTCTGCCGAACGGCAAGTGTTCTCCATATGGCATATTCTGTTGTTACCCCATCCACCAAGTCTTGGTGATTTCCATGAAATTTTATTTATCTTCTTGATTTCTCTCCGCCCCCCAACTATTGCTGCTACTTTTAAGTGTAGTGCCTAGCATACTGATGTTCAATAAATAATAATTATGATTAATCTCAAGAAGTATTTGCCTTCTCTTTTAGGCTGTGAGGATATCATTGCTGAGAGCATCTCATTAGATACCTTACTTGCTGTCCTCAAGTGGAGCTCTCATCCATATGGCTCCAAATGGGTGCACCGGCAAGCTTTGCATTTCCTCTGTGAGGAATTCTCCCAGGTCATGACTTCGGATGTGTTTTATGAACTCAGCAAAGACCATCTGCTTACTGCTATCCAGTCTGACTACCTACAGGTAACCATTTATACACCTCTCAACTTCATTGTTATTCATATGTGCTCCCAGAAATCCACCTGTACCCCATCCTAGGGTGTGGTAGCAGGGACGAGAAACAGGCTGTGATCAGCCCACCCAGGAATGCCCTCTTCAGATTTGTCCAACTTGGTGCCTACAGGTCGCTCATGCACACTGTCATTCCACATTGTGACCAGGCACAGATCCTGAGCAGCCCTACCCAAACAGGCTAGAGGCAGGAGATATGATCAAAAGCACATCCCAGGAGTGATGTTCCCGACTTCCATGAATGTAGTGTCAATATAACAGATACCTAGGTTGTAGGCAGTATCTTCAACAGCACAGAGTAAGAGTTGATGATTTCTGATCGACTTAATTGAATATTAAAAAAACTGAGTGTTGTGTGCTCTGTTGAAGTATAATGTTTTCAACTATTTTTAATCAGATGTCATTTTTAGCAAATTCTTATGCCCTTGTTTTATATGTCAATCTAATTTGGTGATTTAAACTGAAAATAGCTCTAAAATGACACAGAGCCTATATTTTGGTAGAGTGTGTTTAAGCTTCATATTTTTTGCTTTGACTGAATTTTATAATTTTAATACATAAAGCCATTGGGCTAGTTCATATTTCCTCGTATGTACACTAGAAATTACAGAATACTACATTTGTCATATATTCAGCGAAAGATTATTAAGTGAATTTTCACCATACTTTGACGAGAGTACAAATGTTATCATTGGATGTGATTGATTTAGGGTCTCTGTTCAGGAACCTTGATTCACTGCCCTGACCCATAAGGCTGCATGCATTATATTTAGGAGAGTTAGGCTTTGTTAGATTACTGTCTTGAGGATCTTTGCACTTCTTGGAAAGTGAAAAACTTGGAGAGCAGTCCTTGGCCGTAAGCTCTTAAGTAAAGACAGGGGTACACTGCTGCTGCTTCATAGACTGTATTAGAAGATTTCTCCGGGTCAGCCAGGGGAATAACTTCCCACCCAACTGTAGTAGCCAGCACTGCTCAAGTCACCGCCCCTGTGGGAAATCGTGGTCACACTGCAGTCCTGTACTTGTTCTTTCCTTCCTTGTCCATCTCGTCCCCAAATCATTGAAAAGGGAAAATTAATTTGAAATGCACATGGAGCACAAAATAAAAAATTAAAATATGGATAAAAATCTAGCTGGAGCCAAGAGTGAGCTTAATGGATAAAACACATGGGATTGAGTCTTATACATTAGCTGTTAATGGACTACAGATTTAAATATGAGATTTCAAACAGTCAGTGTAAATAGTAAAACATGACAAGTTGAATGCTATATTATGAGGTAGGAAAAGTCAGTGAGATTAACAATATATGTAATTTTGCTGAAATAAATGGAAACCATTTTCTATTACAGGCAAGTGAGCAAGATATCCTTAAATATCTGATTAAGTGGGGAGAGCATCAGTTGATGAAAAGAATAGCTGACAGAGGTAAGCTTGTAGAACTCACTGGTGCTGTGAGGCTCTGGTGGTTTGCACTTTCTTCAAAGCCTACTGAAATGCATGCTTGCGTGCCCATCCGTCTTGAGAACAGACACGATTGCCTGTGTAATAAAAAATGTTACAATCAGGACAATCCTCTAGTGGAGAGGATATGGTGTGTTAGAAATAAGTTTATTGGAACATTTTATTTGGCCATTTTAAAAGGATAATTTTATTCTTGATTGATTCACAGATATATTAGAATGCAAATTTTCCTATAACGATTAAAGTATTAAAAAAGCATATTGTTGTTTTAAATATTCTGGAATTAGATAGTGATAATGGTTCCACACCACTGTGAATGCGTGGACTTTGACCCACAAAACAAAATCTTTTAAAATGGTGCATTTTATGTTACATGACAGTACGTTGTTTATTTTAGAATGTTGTGGAAGGAGAAGGAAGAATATCAGTTCTGAATGACTCCTGCCTGGAGATAAGAGTTTAGAAGCATCACATGTCGGGGCGGTGTCTAGAGATAGAGTTTAGAAGCAACACATGTAGGGGGCGGTGTCTGGAGATAGAGTTTAGAAGCAACACATGTAGCAACACATGTAGGGGCAGTGTCTGGAGTTAAGAGTTTAGAAGCATCTCATGTCGGGGTGGTGTCTGGAGTTAGAGTTTAGAAGCAACACATGTCGGGGTGGTGTCTGGAGTTAGAGTTTAGAAGCAACACATGTCGGGGTGGTGTCTGGAGTTAGAGTTTAGAAGCAACACATGTAGGGGCGGTGTCTGGAGATAAGAGTTTAGAAGCATCACATGTGGGGCAGTGTCTGGAGCTAGAGGTTAGAAGCAACCACATGTAGGGGGCGGTGTCTGGAGTTAGAGTTTAGAAGCAACACATGTTGGGGGCGGTGGGTGGGCTTCCTGCTTGAGAAGCTTCTGATTTTCTAGCATCCTTTTGCTTATTTCCAGGATCATACGCCACACCCCTCCTTCTCCTCTCCCGGAATGTTGGGTTCTTTTTATTATAGGCCCCAACAAAACAAGTTTTGTTAAAAAGTACAGATTTCCCTTGTCCTTTTTAATAGCTTTATTAAGTTACATTTATATGCCATAAATGTTGTCTGTTTAAAGAATTCAAGTCAGTGGGTTTTAGTGCATTCATAGACTTGGCGTGTCAAATTTTTAAATCTAGAAAACAACATGTTAAATCTGCCTTTATGCCTCTTCATAGTGTCCCTTCAGTGAACTCCAACCAAAGCAGTCCAGAACAAAGGTGGCTCTCCTTTTTACTTCACATAACTTACCCATCTATGGTCCAAAAACTTTATTTGATACTTAAGCAGATTTGCAATATTTTTTCCATCTGAATATCATTATAAAAATTTGGAAAGTTTTTGAAATCCTTAGATAGATAGATAGATAGATAGATAGATAGATAGATAGATAGATAGATAGATAGATAGATAGATAGATAGAGATATAACATTACATAAATATATGGGCTTGTTCGTTGGTGTAAGGCTGGTAAAGATGGACTGTTTTGTTGTTTGGGAAGATAGTGAGCATTCTTGGGGCGGGGGGGCAGTCCTCTTAAAACAATTATTTTCTAAAAATAATTTATAAATTATCCAGGGTTCATGAG